GGATCACAGTCCCGCCGTGCGCGAAGGCCGACAAGCGTAGGGCGAGGACCCGTCCATCGCCGCTTGCGGCTTTAATTAAAGTTGTTCTCCACTAATTTAATACTTTATTAAAGTGTTTTAATTAAAAGTTGCATCTCTTCACTTGAACACATCTTTTTAGAAACAGAACAAAGAATCCTGTTCAGTTTGCACTTTTTTGTGTCGAGAACGCTGGTTTGCATTCTGAGTAAAGGATCCGTCGTGTGTAAATTCTGACCCGGTTCTGTGTGTTGTTCTATGCAGAGTCCTACTGGTGGGTTCTGGGCTTCCTGGTCATCACCGCCCTGTTGCTCTACCAGGTCATCTGACCGTCTGAGATCATCGAGACGCCAAACTGAGCCCAGAAACGTTTTCAGTGTCATTTCACTGAAGCGTCTCATCGCTCAGTGAAACCAGAGCAACAGGAGAAGAGCTGCAGATACACGACGAGCAGGAGGACACGTCTGGGCCGGGCCGGGTAGTTCTAGGATAAAATAGTATTAGTAGGTAGAGGTAAAGCAGAAGGATCAGATCAGAGACTCTTTCTGGTTTATTTAATCATTTGTTGAATTGTTTTGATGCTTTCTGTTTTGCCTGTAAATGATTTTCTGTCTTTATTCAGTTTTTGCTCCTCGTGTGCGCTGAGCTCTGGTTGTTCTCCTGGAAGTCAGTCTGCACATGCTCAGTGCTCCGTTTCTCCGCTTTACCTCCTGCTGACGTTTGTGGGGAAAATTCTGACTTTATTTTATGATTCAGCTCTTTGATTGATTGGATTTGTATATTTGATGTGTTTCCAGTACAACCCTCCCAGTACGCCACAGACTGCACTGGTTTCTGAATAAGCAGCTGTAGGTTCTCAGTGTTCTAAAGGCCGATTCACGGTTCTGTCTGTGTGACTGCAGATTGTCAGGAAATTAAATCGAGCTTAAAAGAAACTGTTGTAATGAGGAGATCCTCCATCATCTCCAGCGTTACATTCATCAGCCTGCTGGTGAAGGTCTGCTTCAAAGTCACATGGACATGTTGAAACCACGAGTTCACCTGAAGGCAGAGTGATGCTGTGAACTACAGCAGAGCAGCACCATGTTCATCAGTCAGGCTTCAGTCTCCAGTGACTCCTAGAATCTGGATCTTCTACGATGGAACCACAGGAACATGAATCTTAGTCATAAAAAATAGATTCATTAAAGTTCTTCTGGAAACATGACTGAACCTGCTGGGTCATAAATATTCATACAGAGATGTTAATATCTGGTTAAACGTCCATGTTCTCCTCAGTCGGGTTCTTCTGGTTCCGTCCACCAGCTTCTGGTCCATCTCTGACTCCTCTGGACAGAACCGCTGCAGTTCAACTAAACTCGTCGTCTTTCTGACTCAGACTTGTTCCTTCATCAGTCCACAGGTTCTGGATGGTTCCAGTCAGGACTTTGGGGAGACCAGTCTAGAACCTTCATTCCAGCCTGATGGAACCATTTCTTCACCACTTTGATGTGTGTTTGGGCTCATTGTCTGGTTGGAACATCCACCTGTGTCCAAGATCAACCTTCTGCTGATGGTTTCAGGTTCTCCTGAACAACCTGGAGGTGATCCTCCTTCTTCATTGGTCCATCTACTTTGTGTAAAGCTCCAGGTCCACTGGCAGCAGAACAGAACCAGAGCATGATGCTGCCACCTCCATGCCTGATGGTAGGTCTGGTGTTCTTGGGGTTAAAGGCCTCACCTTCTCTCCTCCAGACATGGTTCTGCTCAGTGTTGGTTCCATCTGACCAGAACTTTCCTCCAGAAGGCCTTTTCTTTGTCCATGAATCTAAGAACAAACCAAAATTCATGACTGTTTCTGATTCTGGAGTTCTAGGAGTCACTGGAGACAAAAGACTCAGTGATGTTCATGGTCTTTACAGGTGGATGGAAACTATGTCACGTCTGTGTTTGGTGCGGTTTGAAATTTTATTGTATTTTTTTTAAAGATTTGTGTCTGGTCTCGTGTGATTTTGATATTAGGGCTCGACCGGTTTGGTGTTTGAGGTCCAGTGTTGATTAACTGTAATCAGAGGATAACTGTCCACTGCAGGAGCAGATCTGGGCGCCAAAGTTTCGAGGAACCCAAAATCTGACTGAAAGCTGAGTTGAAATGTTTCCGTTTATCTAGAATCACTTAAAGAACAACGAGGATGATCAGAAATAGGTTGAATATGTGATCCTGTAATCCTGAAACATGTTGAAGAATTGGACGTTATTGATGTATTTCTGCTCTTCTGGATATGACTTAAAGGCTAATGATGGTTTTCTCTGTTCTAAAATAAAATGTGTGCATTTTAAATATAAACGAGTGAATGTTATTGGCATGAAGATGTGAGAACAGGAGACACGTCGCTTCAGTTCATGGTTTCTTTATTGGCATCAGCAAAAGTGGTAAACATGCATTAGTTTTCTCAGATCCAGTTGCATCTTTTCCTGTCTGTCAGGTTGTAAATCAGCTGATGATGCTCAGCTCTCACTGCTACACTTCTGCATTCAGAATCAGTCCAAAGAAAGTCAAACGAGCTGCAGTTAATCCAACAAACCTGAAACTGCAGCCGCAGCCGTTTACAGCCTGAATCGGATTTTTCTCAAAACCAAGTGATTTTAACAAAATTTGGCAAACTCTTGAGCATCGTTGCGTTGCATAAGCAGTACTTATAGATCAGAAAGACATTATACAGGGTCCTTAAACCACTAACAAAGGAAAATGTACAGTCGGCAGTAAGATTCAGAAATGGCAGATACACAGAAGGTCACACAAAGAGGCAGAACTATGGACACGTTGGCCATGCAGGTAAGAAACACACCTGGAGCGTCGTCGCAGGCGAGTCTGTTTTCTGTGAGTCAGCGGGAAAAGGAAAAGGACGACGACGTGGCTCCAGGTTCACCAACCTTCTCACATCTCCTGCTCTGAATTTAAACCACCCGTCACACGTGAAGCTGCTCATCGTCCGTCCGGCCGGCCGCTCAGATTGTCTGTTGGTGGCCTTCGTGCCTCCGTCAACACCAGCTGATGATGAAGTGACTAACTCACCTTCACCTGCTCGTGCAGCAACACTACGCTGCAGAACTCCACCTTCATCCTTTCCTAACTCGTCTCTGTTTTGCGTTTCCCTGATCTGGTCGTCGCTGCAGGAACAAGAGGCTCAGTGAGGGAACAAAGTACTAAGTAAAGCCTACCAGGAGGTGGAAGGAGCTGTCGCTACGATGCTTTGGGTCACAACTACACACACAGAACAGAAAGAAGAACCTTAGTCTAACGTGAGCTCGTGTTAGTAAAGATGGAAGCAGGTGGCGGGACGACGTTAGTACCAATTTACAAATGTAGAGTCAAAAAAGGTCGAATGGAGAAGCTTTGGCGTTTCAGGGGCTGACGGACCGCAGACTCTGTACATTCACCCCCAGAGATCTACTCATGTTCAGCGCCTCCCTCCGTCCCTCCGTCTCCTCCTCCGCCCACTCCGTCAGCAAGACACGAGGAGGCGCAGAGGAGGAAACAACCAGGAGGCAGAGAGACAAACACTGTTGGAGTGCAGGATGGAGGATGGAAGACCGAAGAGAGGAGGAGGAGGAGGAGGAGGAGGAGGAGGCTGGAAGGAGGTGTCGGGTTTCTTTTTATTCTCTCCTCATTTCATCCTCAGTCCATTACAGGTGCATCGATGAGCTCAGTGGAAGAAATACACTGAGGAGAGAGAGAGAGGAGGCGTCAGGCTGCTGGAGGAACAGAACCGAAAACAGAGGAGAACATGGAGAACATAGAACACGGTGCTCAGGGAGGAACGTCCTCCAGCATCCTTCACCCGGCAACAGAACAACCACGAGAACACCACATTAAAAACATCCACATGTTCATGTCAGCTGGAAGAACGTCTCAGAACCAGGAGAACCTCGAGGAACCATGCTGAGGAACCTTACTTAGAACGGTTCCTGGAGGATCTTTGTGTTGTTGTGAGTCGGTCTGACTGACACGTCGTTTATTTATTTAGGTTTTAAAGCTTCCTGTTCCTGTAGCTGCTCCAAGGTTCATGTCTAACGATGAGAAGCATCCAGCAGCTCAACCATCTCTGTTCTTATCATCATCAACAGTACCAATAATAACTCAGTTTAATGTGAAGGAACCTCAGCAGCAGTGTGACGGCTGCTAGAGTCCAGTAGAACCCAGCAGAACCCAGTAGAACTCTGATCAATGAGCAACCGTCATGTTGATCATCTTCATGGACTCACTCAGTGTCTGTTTGTGTCTAAATGTCAGAACCTGTGGATCAGAGTTTCCTCCAACGTCTGGTTCAGTCCAGAGATGTTCAGTTCAGTGTCAGAGGAAAGAACCCAGAAAACCTTCAGACTGAAGGAACTGAACCCAGAGTTCTGACTGATTCTGTTCAAACCCTCCAGCTGATGGATGGATGATCAGAACCACTGATCAGTGAGTCTCTGCAGCTACAAACTGTCCTGGTTCTTCTTCTTCTTGAAACTATTGATGAATGAAGCTGCTGCGATCAGCTGATCATGTCTCTAGAGGAGCCTCCATCTGCTGAGCTACTAAAACCTCCAAGTGGACATCTCAGAACCACCCATCTGACAGGAACTCATCTGGTTCTCTGCTGGAGGTGACCAAACCAGAGCTACAAACCAGGATCCATCCAGAACCTTGTCTGGGTTTAAACTGGAGCTTTTTCTCCTGGACCTTGGTTTGATGGAGCTTCATAGTGGAGCTGAAGCTAATTATTAGCTCCACTGGAGATGTTCTGGATGGATCCATCAGATGGTTGGTCTACATTATTTAAACGATGATCCAGCTGATCAACCAACAACCAGCCAGTCCAACATCTGGCTGGTTGTTGGTTGATCTTTGCAGCTCTGTGGAAACCCCTGAAAGCTTCCGTCTGCTGGATGAACGTCGTCAGCAGAACCTCACACATCCTGAAGTTGGACCTGATGAGCGGTTTTACTCACAGAATATGATTCCGACCACGATGACGCCGATGATTCCCATCATGATCATCATCTGAAAGCAGAACACACGTCATGTGAGGTCCTTCAGAGTGTAAAAGGAAACAACACTTCCTATTCTGCTCTTCTTCTCTGATATAATCTGTGATGTAATCCCCAGATGTTCCCCTGAAGCCTCCGTCTGTTCTGTTCTGGTGGTTCTGTTCGCTCAGCCTCATGCAGCTGCTGTTCCTACCTTGCAGTTCTTCCACCAGTACTTGTTTTTTAGCTTCGCTGCGCAGCTTTCGAACTGCGAGGCTCCGGCCTGCAGCGCGTCGGCTCTGTCGTCCAGCTCCGACAGCTTCTGGTCTCTCTCCAGAACCTTGTCCACGTTGACCCGCATGATGTCCACGACCTGGACCGGAGCCGGGAGGAGGGGAGACAGGAGCGGTTAGAGGAGAGAACAACTGCACAGTTTAAAAGAACCACGGTCAGAGTTCTCTATCTGATCGGACCCAGGCTCTGAGTCCGGCTCAGTCCGCTCACCTCCTCCACCTGGGCCTGGGTCTGCTGTAGCCGGCGGTTGCTGGAGGTGTTGGGTGGGCCGGCAGGAGGCCCGGCTGGGGCTCCGTCTGCTCCGGGGGCACCTGGAGCTCCAGGCGCTCCGGCTGGAGGGGCAGCAGCATCTGGGGCAGACCTGGAGGGCAACAGGGGCAGTTAGGTCTGCTAGGGGCAACAGGGGCAGCTAGCACTGCTGGGGGTAACAGGGGCAGTGAGCTCTGTTAGGGGCAACGGGAGCAGTTAGCTCTGCTGGGGGCAACAGGGGCA